TAAGTTTTGTATTCAAAAGAGCGGGAAGTGGTTTTTTGGTCAAAATAAAATGGCTAAAGTTAAGGAAATGCAAATGGACACCAAAAAAGAGCTCACAATGCAATATATAACAAAATGTTCGGGTAGAGTTGCCATTTCAAGGGCCAAGATGCCTAAAATAATACTTTTTTCATAGGTCTCGAAGAAAATGAATCTTAAGTTACTCATTTGCCTTTGTGGAATGGATACACAATTTTTGTCAACATATTGGCGGATCATACCTAAGTATCCAACTCCATTTCTTTGTTTTAAGAAAAAAATTATATTAGTGGCTGTTAGAAAAAACAAGTAAAAACGTTCGGCCGGGCCGAACTTTAGAAGAAACTTAAAAATTGGCAAAAAAAAAATAATTTCGCAAAAATCATGAAAATACCGAATATCTGGGGGTACTGTTATATGGGCGCGTTACTGAAACGTGGATCTATTTAGACAATTCTCTTCTAGGAGGTAAATTACTCAGAAGGAACAACTTATGTAGATTTTAAGATAACTCCATAAAAATGTTGGCTGAAATCATCAAAATACCGAATATCGGGGCGATAACGGTACCCCCCTATATAGGGGCTATAGGATATCGCGCACCTATATAGATAATTCTCATTCAGGGGGTAAAGTACTCACAAAGAACTCCTTGTGTTTCAGACAATTCCATTATATGGGGATTATACCATGTCATGGACCGATATAGCCCATCTTCGTACTTGATCTGCCTGCAGACAAAAGACAGACCTGTGCGAAATTTTAGCACTGAAGCGTGATTAAAACAGATTGACGGACGGACAGGGCTAAATCGTCTCAGAATATATAATATTAGATCTAAAATTGTTATTTCCATGAGTTACAAACGGAATGTCGAACTTAATATACCCGCCATACTATGTATGGCGGAGGCTATAAAAACAAGCAAAGAAACAGTTAAGTTCTGCCGGCCCGAACTTTTTATACCCTCCACAATTTGAAAATTAGCTCATATAAAACCGTCTGTAAATGTCGAAAATCCAGTATTGGAGGGTATGCGTCACTTGTGTTATTAGGAACATCCAATTGAAAATTCAAACAATTCTGAAAAAAGTTGGCTTCATTCATCAAATACAGAATATCGGCAGGATAGGGGCTATAAAAAAATTTGACTCATATAGAAATTTTTCAATATATGCAGAAGAACCTATTACGGAATACACAAAATGAATTTTAAGTTACTCCGCTAGAAAATCTGGCTTAGGTTGTCAAAAAACGAATATTGGAATGTACAATATATGGGCGCTATAGGAAAACGTGGACATATAAAAACAATGATCTGCCACAGAAGGTTGAACATATATATACATATAAATACCGAGTTTTAAACTATTTTGTTAGAAAGGGTGTATAAAATAACAATCACAAATTTCCACTGAACTGATAATTATTTTAATCCCGGGGGAAATCATAATAACGTTAAAAGGTATCTTCTGACCATTACGGCAATGCTGAAAGCTAAGATATCGGATATATACATATATGTAAAAGAAATAGATTTGAGTTTTTTTCACCTATAAGCCGTTGGACTGATTTTCACAAATTTCATCAATTCAGAATAGTCTCTTGGCAGAAAAGGATAAAATCTAAGAATCATATTTTTTATCGCATGCGATTTTTTCAATTTGACTTACAATGCAGGGTATTACATATAGGTTGCAATTGTCGTCCGATCCTCACGAAATTTTGCACTGAGGTAGATGCAGGGTCAGAATTAAAGCCTATTGTTTTTGAAGATGTACATTTAGGTTTTTCAATGGACAGAAAATGTTACTGATTTTTTAGGTACTCTAGAGGTCTCAAATAAAGACCTCCACCTTGGAAAGGGGGGTATATTAACTTTGTCATTCCATTTGAAACATCACTAAATATTCGTCGTAGACCAAATAAATTAGATATATTCATAAATAGCAAAAATTACGATACACCCCACATTATTTGACGTAGAGCTTAAAAATTTAGCAGAACAATTTATATTGTATCCATGATGGTTGGTATTTAAAATAAGATATATCGGACCACGTTTTGGTATAGCAGCCATATAGCAGTACCTCTGGATATTCGGTATTTTGATGATTTTCGCCACATTATCCCACAGATGTGTCTAAAAATTGGTATTTGTAGGTCATAATGGGTTCTAGCTCCGACTGTGAAACATTGTATGTATAGGTCCACGTTTTTGTATAGCCCCCATATAACGGTACCTCCAGATATTCGGAATTTTGATTTTTTTGTTGCCACATTATTACACGGATTTGTCTAAAAATTGGTATTTGTAGTTTTTAATGGGCTCTAGCTTCTGTAGTAGGTCCACATTTGCGTATAGTCCCCACATAATGGTACCTCCGGCTATTCAGTATTTTCAAGATTTTTGCCACATTTTTCCACGGATTTGTTTAAAAACTGGTATTTGTAGTTCGTAATGGGCTCTAGCTTCTGTACTGGAACATAGTATGTATAGGTCCACGTTTGCGTATAGCCTCCACATAATGGTACCTCCAGGTATTCAGTATTTTGATGATTTTTGTATCATTTTTCCACGGATTTGTCTAAAAATTGTCATTTGTAGTTCAAAATGGGTTCTAGATCCTGTGACAGAAAATTGAATATTAGGTCCACGTTTTCCCTTAGCGCACATATAATGATACCCACCAATATTCGGTATTTTCGTAATCCTAGTCACATGTATCCATGAAATTGTTTCAAATTTGGTATTTAAGAAAATTTGGTAGATGAGAATCCTTGAAGTATAATATTTTCTATGGAAGCTCCCGTTTTGGTATGGATCTCAAACGAAGGCCTCCACCACATTATGGTTTTTTGAAGTTTAATAGCATTATCCGAACGGTCTTACTGGCTTTTGTAGTTTGAAGTGGAACATGTTTGAATTCAGAAACTTCAATATAAAAAAGTTTTCTTTGCCCAATGGTGGAGGGTATTAAAAGCTTGTCCCGGCCGAACTTAACATTTTTAGTTTTCGAGAATGTAAAGTCAAGTAAATATCCGCCGCTGAAAAAGTCTGAGGTTTGTTGACACAAGCCCGCGACTTCAAAAAGCCCCACAAAAAGAACTCTGGCGCGGCCAAAACAACGAGAGATTAGGATTTTTCGCCATATCGATTGTGGCACGTGCAGTGTGTGCCGTTGCACCAACCTGTCGGAACCACATGTTTTCCAATTCCAACACATCAATTTGCGGCAAAGAGAAGTCATTGATCATTGCGTTGTAAGGATCACCGTTTGGTCCGCGATCTCTGCGAAGAAAAAATGCCCGATGTCTCCTCCAGCGAAAACAGCACACCATATTGTGACTTTGAGCGGGTGTAATGGTTTTTCGTTGTTTACGCGAGGATTTTTCAGAAGCGTACCCGCTAACACAGAAATTGGCTACATCACTCAGGATTATTTTTGAAGAAAAATCTGATGATTGAGGATGGCTTGAACGTATGTTAGACGCGATTGGCGGTCAGCAGCTAACAGCTGATGCTCCATGTTGGCTTTCTACGAAAACATCTTCAAATTCTGTGCCAAAATTCGAAGCATTGATAAAACCGCGCCGTTATTTGAATACTTGTGCATTTCGGAGTACACCTCAAGCACCATTGGACACCCTACTTCACTTAAATCCTTTAAGTATGTTTGGAACAGTTTGGGACAGACATACGTCCTTACACCCAGAGAAGTAAAAAAATGGCGTTACTTATCTTTTAAAAATTTTACAATTTTTGAGGCTAATTGGAACATATAGGGGGTGAGGTCGAAACCAGTGATTATATATTACCAGATCTGACCTAAAACATGTGGTAAAAATTATTACAGGCTGACGATACAGCAACTTAAGGCTCTGTCAAGGTGAGGAGCCATGGGATTATGAAAAGCAAATTATACACGATATATCCTCACTCTCCGAAACAGAACTAGCAGTTCTTCTTCAGCCATTCAGATGATTAAAGTGGCTAAATACCATGCGATAAACTTTCATACGGGAACTGTTTTCCTTTTTTCGCTTCCTTTTCTATTTAGATGATCACAATGGACCAGTAGATTTTTAAGTCCGAACATAAACTTGATCTATAATGGGGTCTTCTTTCGCTTAACAAGAGATTTATTTTTATATTTTTAACTTTTGTGGGGAACGTGTCTGGGGACCAATATTGCATATCTCAAAACTCGATCTTAGTTAGACCAAGTAGGACACAGTAGTCGTAGAACTGAGATTGTAAAAATATAAATAATTTGAAAGTTTATTATTATAAATTTATTTAGCTACCAATTTCTGTTTATATTTATTTTATACAGCGGCAACCCTGGAGCTCTGCAGCATAAAAATCCACAAGGGTGAGTGGAGAAAATCACACACAAAGAGATACAACACAAAATTTACGATCATTTATTGATTGTTTTTTTTTTTTTCTTTTGGGGGAGATCAATACGATATTATCGTAAATCGAGCAAAAGAGAGAGGGAGTTTATTTGCTAATGGGGAGCAAAAGCTTTTTTAAACAAACAATAAGGGGAGCAAAAGCTCTGGGTTTTTTGTACTTTCAAAACTCACAATGAGAGCGAGAGAGAGTGAGAGTGCCCCAATGTGGGGAGTTTTGAGATGTGTGTTCCATTGTTGTTGTTGCTGTTAATGTTTTATACTTAAATCAAACAAAAACAACAAATGAATTAATTTTCAAACATTTGCGCACGCTCATTTATTTCGGTATTGTTTGGTTGGGGTTTCCAGCCATATTACCAACCGATGATATTCAATGGATGGTGGAATAGATTATGAAGAGCAACAAAAAACGGCAAAGGCAAGTGGTGGAGAGTCTGAAACAGACACACACACACGTGGGGATACATACATACCCATGGAATATGTATATTTTGTTGTGTTTTGTTTTTTTTTATTTTGAGTTCGAAAACGAAACGAGTAAAATATTAAAAGAGATCGTCAAAATATGTTTAGTTAATTCATGACAATTGTAAACGTCGGACGTGTTTCGGTTATTGAAAACCAAAGTTAAATTTGTTTCGAAATTTTTGTTAAAGATTTTTCGTCGATCTGTTTGAAGATTTTTGTCATTCTGGTTAGTGTTTTTAAAGTGATGTTTTAAAATTGAAATTTTTATTGGAAATTCTTGCTAAATATAGCCGGGAATAGAGAAGAAGAAGAAAAGGAAAATATTGATGAAGTTGAAGAAGTTGTGTGAGAGAGATCGAAAACGTGTTTGAAATTGATGATGATAATGATGATCGAAAAGAAAGAGTAGTAACAACAAAAATATTTTTTTGGGAATTTCAATCTCTGTCTGTTGGCAGCTACGACGACGATTCGAAAATTTAAAACGGTAATAACGGTTTTATCAATAGCCTCCCCTATTCTCTGGTTAGAGCTAAGTTATCAGTTTGTAGTATTTGATTGAATTTGGTGCTAATTTTGTTGGGCTGACAAAAAAATGTATTTTAAATGTTGCCTTTGTGTGAGAATTTTGAATTTAGTGGAGACAAAGAAAACATAAAATGAATGCAAAATAACAAAAATAAAATCTCAGCATCATACAACAATAGAAAACACAAAACACAAAATTTGAAGGAATAAAAAAATATCAACAAAAAAAAAAAAAATGGAAAACGCAATGAAGTATCAAAGTGGATAAAATAAAATAATGAAAAAACAACAAGTGAATAAAATCTAGCTTCTCCTTAGCCAGCTGAATGTTCGATTATGTGGGTGTTGTTATTTTGGAATACAAAAAATTTAAATTCAGTGCTGCAGCAAAAAAATTGTCCCACAAAAAACCGCAGGCCCACCAAAAACTTAATGATTTCCAGTGAGAGAGTGAATTTGGTTTTTGTGTGTAAATGATCATCAGTTTTGTGAATTTCCATAATTTATTGATCACGTTTCGACAAATCGTCTGTAGTGAATGCCCTCAATAACACACAAAACAAATATGTAACCAAAAATAAAAAAAAAAAAACGAAAAACAATAACAAGGGAGAATTTGCCAAAAAAGAGAGCAATGAGAAAATTTAAAAAAAAAATTAAAAAAAAAGAAAACAAAAACAAAAAAGTAAAAAAAGAAATTAAAAATCAAAACAAAAAGGGAAAAAACTGTTAAATCTTTTTCACTTTCAAAGGTTTGGTGGATGCGTTCAAAAGAACAATAAAATTAGAAAAAAAACAATTAAATTAAACATTTTTCATATTCCTTATAAGGAGATTATTCCGAAAAGTGAACCGATATGACCCATTTTCTGTACCAACGATTCTGTGTGTAACCCAGAGATCTCTATGAATTCTCAAAGCTCTATATTAAATATTGGGAAACATATTTCAAACTACAGGGGACCGTTACATATATGGTCCAAACTATATAAGGACCTTAACAATATTTGACCTAAGAACCCAAAACTATTTTGAGGTTTTAACCTAAAAACGAATACCATAAAGTCCGCTTGCCAATTTCCATAACCAAGACTGAACATTGTACAGTGAAATTATACTAAAATTTTCATCGAATCGGAAAAAAGTGCTATATTTTTAGAATATAAACAAGTTTTTTTTTTTATCAACAAAAATTTATACTATTTTTATAGGTTATATATTTAGTCTACAAATTTCTTTTATTCAGAGACTCACAATGAAATTCGATGTAGAATAATTCTCACGTTGACACTTTCCGCAAAAAATGAAGTATAAAGGGAGATTTTGACTCGGATTGTTACCGTGTTGCATTTACTTAGGGAATATTTTCGGGAACAATGATGCAAGTATTTTTATACCCAACACCACATAGTGGTAAGGGTATTATGTCTTTGTGCATTGGTATGTAACATGGAGAAGAAAGGGAGAGTTACTTTTGGGGATCTTCATAGAATCACTTTATGAGTCGATTTATGCATGTCAATCCGTCTGTCCGCCCATGTATTCTTGTGAAGAAAATGCAGGTCGCATTTATTAACCGATTGAGATGAAATTTTGCAAACAATATCTGTATGGCCCAAGGACGAACCCTATTGAAATTGATGATAATCGGATCAGATTTAGATATAGCTCCCATCCGATCTTCAACCGACTTTGGGTTAATTGTGCACCAAATGGCTAATATAAGTCCAAATGACCTGAATTATGGTATATCCGACCAAATTCAGACTAGAAGTAAGTACATCAAATTTGCAGAAAATCGGTTCAGATATACATAGTTATAGCTCGCATATTTAGGTTTCATTCGATTTCGTAATATGTACTCCAGAAGAATGATATTTGGTACCGGACAACAGATACTACTCGAAAATACCTCTGTCAAATTTTATCGATATCGGTTTAGATTAGGATATAGCTGCCATATACATATAGCTTTATTCGATATCAGGTTGTCCACTAAATGGCCAATATCTGTCAAAAATTCCTAAATTTTGATGCATCCGACCGAATTCAGTCTAGAAGCAAGTACATCAAATTTGGTGAAAATCGGTTCAGATATAGCTATAGCTTCCATATATATGTTTTATCCGATTTGGTGTTTTGGTGTCCCTCACATTCGTAATATGCATTCGACAACAATCATATTTGGTACCAGATATAGTATAAAGCGCGAAAATACCTTTGCCAAATTTTATCAAGATCGGAGAAGTTCTGAATTTTATAACATCCAACAGAATTCAGTCTAGAAGCATGTGCATCCGATTTGGGGTTTAAAGTCCCTCACAAGCGAAATATGCATTCGACAACAATGATATTTGTTACCAGATATCTTATAAAGCTTTGCCAAAAGCAATATACCTTTGCCAAATTTTATCGAGAACGGCTAAGATTTGGATATAGCTCCCATATATATCCTTAACCCGATTTAAGGTTTATTGTACAAATAATGGCTAATATCAGCCCAAATGCAGTGAGTTTCGGGATGTACGTTTTCATTTTGTGTAACTTGACTCCGATATTTATTATACCCTACACCACATAGTGGTAAGGGTATTATGTCTTTGTGCATTTGTTTGTAACATGGAGAAGGAAACGAGGTAGACCCATAGTTACTTTTGAGAACCTTCATAGAATCACTTTCTGAGTCGATTTATGCATGTCAGTCCGTCTGTCCGTCCGTCTGTCCATGTATTCTTGTGAACAAAATGCAGGTCGCATTTATTATCTGATTGAGATGAAATTTTCCAAACAATATTTTTTTGGCCCAAGGACGAAGCCTATTGAAATTGGTGAGAATCGGATCAAATTTAGATATAGCTCCCATATATATCTTCATCCGATTTCGGGTTAAATGTGCACCAAATATCCACTATCAGTCCAAATTACCTGAATTTTGGCACACCCAACCGAGTTCGGCCTAGAAGCAAGTATATCAAATTTGGAGAAAATCGGTTCAGATATAGCTATAGCTCCCATATATATCTTTCATCCGATTTGATCTTTAAGTCCCTCACATTTCTACTATGCACTCCACAACCGTGATATTTGGTACCAGGTATTAGATGGAGCACAGAAATAGCTGTTTTAAATTTTATCGAAATCGGTTCAGATTTGGATATAGCTCCCATATATATCTTCATCCGATTTCGGGTTAACTGACCATCAAATGGCCAATATCAGCCCAAATGGCCCGAATTTTGGCACATGTGACCGAGATTAGCCTTAAAGCAAATGCAACAAACTGTTCAGAAACAGCTATAGCTCCCATATATATCTTCATCCGATTTCGGGTTAAATGTGCACCAAATGTCCACTATCAGTCCAAATTACCTGAATTTTGGCACACCCGTCCGAGTTCGGCCTAGAAGCAAGTATATCAAATTTGGAGAAAATCGGTTCAGATATAGCTATAGCTCCCATATATATCTTTCATCCAATTTGGTGTTTAAGCCTCTCACATTCGTAATATGCACTCCACAAGAATGATATTTGGTACCAGGTATAAGATACAGCCCAGAAATAGCTGTTTGTAATTTAACGAAATCGGTTCAGATTTGGATATAGCTCCCATATATATCTTCATCCGATTTCGGGTTAATTGTGCACCAAATGGCCGATATAAGTCCAAATGGACTGAATTTTAGTACATCGGACCAAATTCAGCCTAGAAGCAAGTATATCAAATTTAGTGAAAATCGGTTCAGATATAGATATAGCAACCATATATATGTTTCATCCGATTTAGAGTTTTAGTCCCATACATTCGTAGTATTCACTCCACAACCGTGATATTTGGTACCAGGTATTAGATGGAGCACAGGAATAGCTGTTTTAAATTTTATCGAAATCGGTTCAGATTTGGATATAGCTCTCATATATATCTTCATCCGATTTCGGGTTAAATGTGCACTAAATGGTCAATATCAGCCCAAATCACCAGTCTAGAAGCTAATACGTAAACTTTGGAGAAACCCGGTTCAGAGATAGCTATAGTTCGTAAAATGCACGATAGAATTAGATAGATTTTGATTTTGTACCAAATATCTCATAGAGCTCTGAAATGCCCTGTATAAACCTTTTTACGAGAGCTCTACTAAATATGCATAGTGGTGTAGGGTATCATATAGTCGGCCCCGCCCGACTTTTGAGCTTTCCTTACTGGTTTTTTAATATAATCCTTCTCCAAGTAATTTCATACACTCTAAAAGGTACAAAAGATTAAAATGTCTCCGTCAAATTTAGTGAAAATCGATTCAGAATTGGATATGCCTTCCATATATATTAGTTCCCTTTGAAACCAATCTATATCTGCTCTATAGCCAAATGTTGATAAGTGGCATGATCTACTTCAAATAAATTATTTTGTTACTACTAAATATGCATAGTTGTGTAGGGTATCATATAGTCGGCCCCGCCCAAACTTTTGACTTTTCCTTACTGGTTATGACATGCTATGGTAATAGAAATTTCTTTTCTTTTGTGACTTATAGTAAATTTCGGTGAAGAAAATGTTTGTCTTTGACGTCATATTTCTAAAATGCAGCTTTGACTCGGACTAGATACTTGATAAATTAACAGTAAAAACAAACAAAAAAAAAATTACATAAATTTCGAATGCAATTTTCATGACAACTGTGGTACCTATATTTATGGTTAATTCTGAGATTTACAGTGAACTTTTGTGTAGAATATTTTATGTTTTGACATCTTTCACCAAAAATGAAGTTTTATATTACTTCAGGCGTTAAAAAATTCCGGGGAAAAATTTATCAAAGGCATTAGGGAATATTTTGTTTTTTTTTTTTTTTTTTTGGAAGATGGATGGAATTATTTTTTGATATGCTATGGAAATAGAGATTTCCTTTCTATTGTCACTTTTGTAGAATATTTAACCTTGCTGCGATCCCGTTTAGGGGTAGT